AAAAAAAAAAAAAAAAAAAAAAAGAGAACGACGACAACAGCAACCAAACCCAAACTCCAACATGAATTGCACATCTCATCACTTTAGACTTATTGACCCATGCAGCCTGTTGGGCTCTTCACCCCTCGGTCATGCCTCTATAGAACAAGCTCCACAGCACGCTGGAGAGAGTCAGCAGTCACAGCTCCCACTCATATTTTTCCTAGACAAACGTCTCTTCTGCGAACGCCACTGCATCACACTCCTCTGAGGATGCAACTGTGCGGGGCTGGCTCCTCAGCCACTCCACCCTGCTCCGGATGAGCTCATTTTCCACAGCTTCTGCCTCTGCTGCGTGGCAGGCCTTGACCTCATCATGCTTGAAGTACTCCCGGACGGTGCTGCGGATGGAGGCAGGGAGGATGATGCGGATGGTGTGACTGAAGGTGTTGATGTTTTTGCTGTGGGTTTTGGCCTGTGCCTCTGGTTGTGCCTCCTCTGCCAGCTCCTCTGGAGGGGAGGTGTTCTGGCCAACCTGACTGTATTCTGCTTGCAGGGAGTGGTTGGTCCATTCATGATGGTATCGCCTGGAGACTGACTGCAGCACCAACGGGGTGTTTTGCCCGTAAAACACTGTCTGGGGGATCTGCACTCTAACTGTCGGTAGACTCCTGGAGGCGCTTTGTTCACTGCTGCTTGAGTTGCTGGTGCTGAGGTTCACAGCCAAACCTTTCTCTTCCTGCTCTACTGGAGACCCCCTTGGACTTTCTGTATTTGGGGCCATGTAAAAGGTTATCTTGGTACGCTTCAGGCTTTCCTGTCTGGACACCTCAGAGCCCTTTATTTCAATGTGCTTCACTGATTTCTCTCTGTGCACTTGCCGGCTGATTGCAGAGGAGCTTTCACTGTCTTGGGTGTGGGTGCCATGGCCTGCGTTGTGATTACACTCTTTGAAATAACCTTCACTTCTTGTGTGACAACCCTGTCCAGAGAGCCCTGTACTTCCCATCTCTCTTTCCTCCCCTTCACTGCCACTCTCATTTAGCAAGCTTCCCACGGCACCTCCATTGATGGGGGTAAAGCCCTTTACTTCCCCAGTGCTATGGCTGCACCCTATGTCCTTTTGCTCATACTCATTACAAGAGTCCAAATTGCAAGGGTTCAAGGGCAAAGGAGAGGTTAAGGGCTTGTGCCACTCTTTCTGGGACTGCTTTGCTGCCTTTGGAGATAAGGCGTAGAGCCTGGCAGAAGTGCCGAACATGAAAGGCAAGGAGGAGACATCTGTGGGGCTGAAGGCTGAAGACTCTGAGCAGTAGGAGAAAGCACTGTCTAAGGAACTTAATGAGGAGGCAGAGGGAGAAGTGGTGGTAGAGGACAGGCTGGAAAAGCTGGACCTATTGGACAGACTGTTTTTTTGAAAGCTCAGCTTCTTCACCCTAGCTCCAGTCTGAGGTGAGCGCCAGAAATTCGGCCTGGTTTTATTAACCCTGGGACTCAGGCCTTCATCAATCAGCTTCTGGCTCTCCAGCTGCAGCTGCTTCAGCCTATGAATGTAGTCCGTGTGACTGTGCATGATGGTGGCATCGCAGCTGGACTGGCGGGCTACTGGCTCGTGGCTCTGGGCAGGGAGTTGAGAGCTGACACAGACACTGGGCTCAGATGAGCACCGATCCCTTGCTGGGCTCAGCGAGCGTATTGAGCCCATGGAGCAGAAGGAGCCCTCCTCCTCCAGAAGGTCATAGCTGTCTGCACTGGCATTTTTCCTGGTTTTGCTCTGGTAGCAGGCTGCGATCTCACTAAACAAGTCCCAGTCTTCCTGCTCTTCATCGAGTAACAAATCACCGGATGGGTCAAACACAATGTCTGCTTCAGGAACTGGCTGGTGCTTTGGTCTTTCCTGATCGCAGGCACCAAACTCCATCTCATCGGATGAATCATCGTGCTGGGCCATTCTAGTACCTGGGGAAGACACACGGGGAGAATGCAAACTCGTACTGTGCACTTCTATTGAAAACCAGATAATAATCTACAAATATTTATAACTACAGTGGGTTCAATATCAGGTGCAGAGAGAAGTAGCCATTAGGGCTGGGTGAAACGGCACTGTTCTGTTTCTACTTCAGTTTTGAGGTTTGGACGGAAGAGCGTTTTGTTCTGAATTTCATTCTGAGTTGAAATAGCCTCACTGTTTCGCTTCCCCAGCCCGACTGCAGTGCTTGGGAGGGGAACTGAGCCCAGGCTCCCTGCACTGTGATCAGCTTCCCGCAGCCCAGCAGCGGGAGCCAGGGAGAGCCAGGGCTGCGCTCCTGGCTGCTGCTGGGAGCGCAGCCTCGTTCTCCCTGTCTCCCACCACCTTGCTGCTGGCTGCTTCGAAACTCGAAACATTTTGAAGCTTTTGAAACATTTCAACTAGCCTCTTTTTGTTTTGAGACTGTTTCAAAGCCCTTAGTTTCAATTCGATTTTGCTGTTTCGAGCTTGAAATGAGTCGAAACAGTGTTGAATCGAAACAGCTGGCAAAATTTCACACAGCCCTAGTAGCCATCTCCTGGTTACACAGCAAGTCTCTGGCAGACCTGGGAACAGACCCTCAGAACTCTGCCTCTAAGACTTGTCATTATTAGACCAACGTACGTGTGTATAGTAGAGGCACTTGGATCCCTTCTGATCTTCAAGGTCTAAGTTTAGAGACATTAGTTGAACTGTTTCATTTTAAACAGGCTACTGTGGACCTGTGATTGGTATGAGTATTTTGGCGACAAGTCACATAGTTGCTGGTTATCCCTTTGAACTGGAAGGACTAGAATAGTTCAGAACAGTGGCAGAGGTAATGAGGATGAAGGAAGAGACAGGCACGGATGTGTGCACAGCACTGTGCTTATGCCCTCCAATTTCCAGGGTGACATAGGCAGGGAGCAAAGGGAAAAGTGTAATGGGAAATCAGTCCTCTTCTCCTTAGTGTCCCTTGGATAAAAGCATGGGAACTGTAGTTTTCCTTTCCAGAGGTTTTTGACCACTGTTACGAATTATGAGACATTTCTGGAGAGGTGCCAGGAATATGCCATCCCACAGACTTACCTAGGGAGTCCTCTGAGCCTTTTGATTTCTCTTTGTCTGGTCTTCGAAACAACGATGCAATATCCCCTCCAAAAATTTCTGCTGAGTTTTCAATCAGAAATTGCACTAGCATGGCCACCTGCCAAACAAAGAAGTCACTTAGATCATTTCAAAGAAAACATTTTCAGCTATACTGGGCGATTCAAAGTTGCCCAAGGTGGCAAGTTGGTGTGTTTGTCAACAGAAAAGCAACATATTTTAATAGAGAAGTTTCTTTTTTTGGCTCAAAAAGCAATGAAACACCACTGTATACTGGAAAGACGGTGCATTAGTGACAAGAAACTGGACTGCGTGGATGAACAGAGAGAGCAGATACAGATACGGCACATTCTGTGATCCTAATTACTATTGCTGTCATCTCAAAAGTGATTGGAAACACCCAGTCCCTATTGAGTTGGTTGTGGTAATGAACTTTTTCCTCTCTGCAGAATGATGCCACCCATTATTAGAAGCTTCTGCTAGAGTACCAGTGCCCTAATCCCAGCTGGATAGAAGTTTACGCCCAGCCACTCCCTGTAAAAGCATGTCCAGAAGAGTCCACTTGTTACAGCAGATAATGGCTTCTCTCAGCGCCTCCATGCCTGGAGAAGCTTGGTGGCCACACCACTCCATATGAATTTGTACATGTGGCTAATCTTTTATATTCCTTTTTTAGGTTGAAGAGGAATGAAGCTCATAGGAGGTAGCACAAGGAAAGGAAAGTCATCGGGGCAGAATCCCACAAAGAGGATTTACCTTCTTTGTAGACCTGCTTTCTTCTTCGGGCCCAGTAGGACTGGGAAGCCACAGCATGTTGGGAGCTATGCAGAGAGCCAGGTTGAAGGCATTCATCTGATTCACTCCTGAATTCTGCTCAATGTGGTGCAGGACTCCAAAGAGGTATCGGAGTAAAAGGAGGTTGGCTTCTGGGAGCTGATTCACCAAGCTGCCAGGGAAAGAAAAAAAGCAAAACAAATTGCTTATAAAACCTCGTCCTGGAAGCACCAGTTGCTTTCTAAAGCCCCCTTTACAAACCAAAATACAACTGCGTTTTGGCAACTAGTCTGGGACATGCTAGTCTGATCTAGCTGCAACAAATAGGGCTGAGTCACTCCCACTCTACAGCTATGTGGCAGTCCTGTCTGGACATCCACACCTGTCATAATGCCTAGCTACACTGGCACTAAAGCCTTTTGGGAAAATGTTGACCTTAGTCCCTGCACCTCCCCTGCAGGGGCACTGGAGCGTCTGGAGGATACATATACAGAGCTGTGCCAGTAGTCCATGGGATAATGCACATGCACTATGTCCTAAGTTACAGGGATCTGTGAGGAAGGAATTTGTGGCTTAAAAAGCCTGTACTGAGCCAGTGAGAGAAAGAGATTTGTCATATGGGACACGCCGGTGCTAATGGACAATCCCCATTCAATGCACCCATCTGACAAAAATAAAGAAACTCCCCAGGTCCCAATAACTGTGCCTGGCCACGGTTTTTTCTTTCTGATGTCCATTGTGGCAATCATTTTAACTTTGCACATGCAAAGCAGCTAATTCCATGAATACCCCAGGACACGACTGGTGTCCAAATGACTGTATTTTCTCTCTGCAAATTCTGGTAATCAGAGCTCGTCATCAGAAAACTATTTTCTCATGAATTTTTTTGTTGAACATATCAACGTCTTTCATTTAAAAAAATTGTTTTGATGAAAATGTTCTGACCATCTATGCTGGCAACAGGCAAGGGCAGTGACATGGCCTAGAGCAATATTAGGAGTTTCCTAGAATAGGGTAAGTATGCTGTGGGACATATTCACATCCCCACCCCCAAGAGCCACTGTGAGCATTTACAAACCTTTTAATGACTTCTGTCTTATGTGCTCGATTTTCTGTGTCCACAGCTTCCATCCATAACCCGTGCATGTCTGAGGATAGAACACTGTCAGGTATATTTCGTAGAAAATCCTGAATTAAATATATATATGCAGAGCAGTCTGGTCAGTTTTTAATTTTTTTCATGGTGCATACGTTTTTATTTACAGTAAGCATAAGAAAAAATGAGACACAATACGAATACATGCCTTCGAGGCCTCCCTGCTTCCCATAATGTGCAGCATTGAAAACAGACCTGGAACTTCTCCTTCAGTGGAACAAAGACCACCTAATCTACCCTCTGTGCTAGAAGCAGGATTGTTCTCCACAGTATGGTAAGGCTAAGGCTTCACATTCGCCAAGGCTTTGCCTAGACCAGTTTTAAATCTCCCAAGTTCCTTTTTCCTTGGCATCCCGTATCACAGCTTAATATGCCTTTTTTTTTAAACAGTCTGAATCACCTGCAACCAAGGAGTGGACTGGGGAGATTCCACTCATTAGGCCAAGCCTGCACTGCAAGAACCAGGTGCTTGAATTTCAGGTGCCTGAATTTTTCTCACCTGGTTTCACATCAGTGCCCCACTAGGGTTTCCCTTTACTACAAAGTTAACTAGAGTGATAACTCATGTGTTGTTCCTAGTTCAAGTCTTGGCCACACACAGAAACCTTTAACTTAAGTATGGTGGTCTTTTCACTCAAGTTGGCTGGCCAATCTGGTGCTGTTGGCTTACATTCAAGCCAGCATGCCTTGTCAGCTGCTAACATGACCATTCTGGAGTCTGGCTGAAGAACTCAGTTGCCCCTGGCCCTCCAGCACTTCCCATTTTTCCCCAGGGTGCTTGGAAAGCATAGATAAGTTCCCCTGGATTTCAGTGGGAGAGGAGCTCATCTCACCATGGCACCAATGGGACATAGCTCTGAATGGCTTGGGCCATACATCGGTGGGTGTAGCACCAGTGTGGAAAAAGCAATTAGAGAGGTACCATTCTCAGGGAACTCAGGTGTATGTAGCTTGGTTAACTCCATGATGAAGACATACTTTTAGTCTGTTGAACCCTTTGCTGCCTGAGACTCTGCTGTGCTTTTGCATTAATAAGTACAACCCCCACCCCAGATACTGGCATGAGGGCCAGTACTAATTTCTGCATCTTTGTGCCAGTAAAAGCAGCAGTTCTTAGTTCATGAAGGGGCAGACATGCTCTCTTTCAGGAACCAACTTTCAAATGAGAGTGGGGTATGTCAAATGGGTCGAGTTAAAAATGCAGTCCCTTGGCAGAATCACAGTATTTCCTTACTAACCGAGGAGTACTGTGTCATGCTGTTTTAATTGGAAGGAGGTGTATCATTTGAATAACTTACTGTGATGACTGCTGCAGCCACAAAGACGGACTCCCCATCCATCTGGACCTCATCTCCAGAGTTCAGTTTCTCTTTCAGTTCCTTACAGGTCTTGGCATTGGCTGAGCGCCTGAAAATGCCCCTTGTGGAGGGACCTTCATGGTAGAGGAGAAGCAGCATATCCTAGAGAAAGCCCAGCACCAATATATTAACCCATATTTTAGGTATATCACATGCCAGATCTCCTGTGATAATTGGAGTACAGTCTAGTCAGCACTGAGCTTGGAGATTACTAGGGAGATGCAGGGAGATTATGTAGGGGGTGCCTTTTTTCTGGATTCAGAGTTCGTACTGAAGCACAGGAAATCATTTTCCCACCCACCACATACAAGTCTTGGTTACAGATGCCTGAGAAATGACTGGCAGGGAGAGAGGTAGATAGATTTTATGGGACCCACGGCATAAATCTCCCCTTACCATAATTGGCTTGGGAAGGAGTCCATCAGGGCAGACGGAGGACAGAGACAGGCCAAAAAGCTTCCGTGGTGTCGTTGGGGAGTGTGATGGTGGACTGCCTGTGGGAGTGCTTGTGCTCCGACGCAGGGCCCAATCAATCAAGGATTTCTTCCTCTTGGTATGTTTCTGCAATGATTCTGAAACAGCAAAAAGACACTGTTTGTTCCTGTGTCTCCCCTTACTATTGTGCTATAAGCGGGTCACAGATGGTTGGACAGTAATTCCCAATACTTTAATTAGTTGTTTCCATCTCTCAGTGAATCCATTATCTGGGAATCTTTTTTTTTTTTCATTATGTGATCTGTTCTAAAGATGGTCAAATAATATTCAGAGAAAATTCTGGTCTATTGGCACATGTACAATTCACAGGCAATGTCTATATTATTAGAATTGCATGCTCAGATCAAGACATCAGTAACACGTAATCCAATTAGTAAGAAAATACCTAGGAGACTGCATTCCTCTTGCTTTCTGAAATGAAACAGCCAAGGGTTAAATACAGCCTCATTGGTGTATCTGTTGTTGGAGCATATCCACGGTGAATGTAACTCATTGCTCAGTGCTACTCATCCACTTAAGAGATGTTACTGAGAGCCGGCCTAAGGCTCAAGAATGCAGTCCTGCCACCATGGAAATCAACAGGTAGTCAGTGGGAGCAATGAAGCAATTGACTTCAGATATATTCAAGTTCAGAGTGTCTTTTGAAATAAAAGCATGATCTAACAGGATATCAGCAGCTTCCACAGGGAGATTTCCAAAGTTATTTGAAGGGCCACAACTCATCATCCCTGATCTCACCTCTCCTCAGCTGCATTGGCGCTTGGGGCTTGGGTTTCAGGATGAATTGGCACTGTCTGTCCTTGGGAAGCTGGTCCAGGGGGGAAGCCTCTGTGCCATCAGCCAGGAGTGTATTGTTGTTGGTACCTTGATGCTGGTCAACAGTGTCTTGGAGGGAGCTCAAGACAATGCTGAAAGGATGCTCATGGCCTGTTGAGATAAGAGGTATGTTAAGTCCAAGTGAGAATCCAAACTCACAAATTTCACTATGTGAAAGCAATTAGGAGTCTTGGTTCGGGATGTAGTGGTCATATGCCCTCATCACACAGCTACCATCATAGCTAGAATGAACGGGATTCTCACTGGCAGTCTCAGTTCATGAAGACTGAACTACTGATTACTCCAGGATCCAGTTTCCTCTAGGCCAGGGGTAAGGTGCATCCCTGAAGCTTAGGGACAGGGAACACTCACTCTGTTGCTCACCAGCAACTCCACAATAACAAGGTTTCTATGGCATCAATAACGTATGTACTCAGAAAGCCTAGGTAAGTTCTCCCAGGCTTCAGTGGGGGAGAATTGATAGAGGAGCTCATCCCGCTGCAGCACCAATGAGACATACCTCTGAACAGCTTAGGGAAAAAAATGATCTCAGCTTCAACAGCCAAGGGAACTCTCTTTTAAAACGCTGAAGTACACTTTGATGGACATCAGTGGAAGCATCTTATTCAAACTTATTCATTGGGTGTCACTTAAAAGGTAACATTTGATGGTTACACCTAAAAAAGATGTGGGCAAGGTCTTATCAGCTCTTAGCATGTTGGCCAGAACGCTGTATGTGACGGCTGAGCTTTTAAAGTTCTGTCCACATAAACCATCAGCAGTTTACATGTTTCAGGAAAGCTTTGCTCTGGACACCGAGCAACACAATAATATAGGGTGGTTCCTTGTGCTCTGCCAGTGGCTCTATGAAGTTCCTGACTCTACTTACAAGACAGAACAAAGACAGGCTGATTTTCAAAATAGTTAATAATACCAGAAGGACAGTATTTCTTCTGATAATTTGGTGATTCTGGTCTTTGCTAGGAATTGCAAAGACTCTAGAATATACTAAAATACAAATTAAAAGACAAAAACAAAACAAAAAAAACTCTCAAAGAAAATAAATCAAAGATTTTTGAATTTCATAAAAAATTATGTTGGGGTTGACTCTGATCCAAACAGCCTGTCGCTAACGTTGATTCCATCATGGCGTCAAACATAATAATAGAATTTGTTATGAATTACTATGGGAAAGATTGGAGAGACATGTTTCATATGCTTTGCCAAAGTAAATACCCTGTCTAATTTTAATTGTACATTTAATCTTACTTTGCTGTCTCGTTTTTGCCAGTGATGCAAAACCAAAAAAAAATAAAAATAAGTAAATACTTTTTCTTTTTGTTGTAAACTCCAGCTTTGGTGTTTTCTCTGATTAATGTTTCAAATTTAGGAGATTAGACACTGGATTTTATTTGAATAAGTTTGTTGTATTTCTGAGATCAACTTATGGATCTATCATCTCTTCTGGTTCTGGCTCTGAGTCCCCTATATACACAATCATTCTCCTTCTAACATCCCAGAGTTTTTGTAATCTAAACAGAAATGGTTAAAAAAGGAACTTTTCAAATAAACAGCTCGCAAAGGACATTGCCCCAAATGCCCTGCGTCTCCATGTGAGATCAGTTTCAGATTAAAGTGAGTATCGAGACTAAAGCAACACAAAAAACCTTGTGAAATGAACCGTGTACTTAATGGGACTTGATGTCTCACATGGAAAACAATTTCCTTAAATGTGAGCTGGAATGCTTTGAAAAATAAATAAATACGAACAAAGAAGATAAATATTTTGGGCTCTTAATTACATGCTTAAAAGATACCTATACATGCATCTTAAGACACTTCTTCCCTTTATTTACTTGTGTGCCAAGACCTGCCTTAAGGTTTCCCTTTCCCCTGCCAGACTAGAAACCACTGTGACCACCAAAAGCAGCATTCTGAATATAATTCCTTGTTATGCTTTAGGTTTAGGTCCTGACCTTCTGCCACTGAAGTCAATCAGAGCTGAAACCCTTCTGAATCTTTCAGGAGATGGTCAGCCTTGATTGACTTCCTTAATGAATTACAGTACAATCTGGTAAACCATTTGTGTGTGAGACCTGAGGCTATCAGGCCAGTTATCTTTCATCATGAATATTTGCTGCTTGCAGGCTTGATGCAGTTGATCATTTCACAGGCCAGCAAGCACTTAGAGGCAGATCTTGCAGAGTGAGAGATGCTTCCCTTGTCCAGACACCAGCACTGTTGTTGTTGATGTTATTGTTATTACTGTGGATCCTACATGCCGGCATATCTGAAGAAGGAAATGGAAGAGCCCTTACCAATTAAAGGGTAAGCAGGATCATCCTTTCCAGATATCACCCAGAGATGGTAGTCACTTGGTCTGCCCTGCAGGTTGGGGAACAGAAAGGAAAGAAATGTGAGAATGGGGGCAAGAGCTGGAAAGAAGGACCAGATAAGCTGGACAGAGCCCACAAAACAATTGAAAGAGATAACAGCTGAACAGACCAAGGGGCAGGGAAAGCAATGGCCAGAAATCTCTGGGAAAGCAGAATGATTTGGAGTGACAGGGTCTCAGAAACAGTTCGTCTGCCATGGGAGAGGAAGGGGAAAGGTTCAGAGGGGGACAGAAAGGGAATGGGAAATCCAAATTTAAAAAAAATCAGATTAAGAAAGCAAACCCAAACTAAGGTTTCCCCAATGTCCACATTTAAGGCTCAGATTCAGGAAGTGTCTTGACATACTGATCAAACAACATCAGTCAAGTTCATTAGATTTCCCAGGAATGTCAGCGTTTACTGGCTATGTATTGGAGGGTGTGAAACACAGGACTAGCTTCAAGTTCGAAAGGTTAAGAACATGGATATTTCAATTCATACAGATACAAGTATTTCCTATCTCTTATTGTCTTGCTAAAGAAACTAGAGCATACTTGCATAATATTTCATGCTTGTTCACTCTGCAAGTTGAACAAAGGTATCAACTATTCATCTCTCCCTTTGATGGTATGCTCTTGGAGCAAGGAGTATGATTAGCTCTATGTAAAGTTGGGCATGTATTAATGATAGACGAAATAATTCTCATTAAGAATAAAGAACTAAGGCTTCCTATAGGTGCACAACTAATGTCTTGGTGTTACTATTGGGCTATTGCCATGACCTTCTTTCTTAAATATTGTAGCTGATGGACGATTACTATTATCAATGATTTGTCCAAGAATAATTTGATAAGCAATGATATATTCACTAATTATGTGTCTAGGATAAAAGCTCTTTGGAAAGTCTAGTCCATGATCAACCCTGGTATAAGTGCCTTGAAATCAGTAAAGTTGCATTTACTTACATAAGACTTGTATTTGGTCCACCAGATATGCATGTGCATTTATAAATCTTTATATATACAGAGATGTATGGGCCCATCCTGTAGCATGGGGAATACTAGTGTTCTAATGATTAAACAAGTCTCCTTCAGTTTTTACCAGACTCCATCACATCTGCATTGTTCAATAAAACAGACGTCCTCAACTTCCCAAGCTAAGATCTGGCAGCATATACAATGGACACTTACAGGAAGTCCAAGCTGATGAACTGTCTTCTTGATCACATTGTCTGCTATTTCTGTATTAGACACATTGACTGTAGCAGTCTAGGAAAGGAAGATACACAGAAAAATGTATAAAGCTAAAGGAAGAGCTAAGATCTAGTCACATTGTCACTTGGATTTGAAAATTAAGGCAAAATATTCTGGCTAGGCAGGTTATTGTCTGCCATTACTAAATATGAAATCATTTTAAGATGATAGAGAGCACAGTTTTCCTTAGCTTGGGAACATTCTTGTCTTTTTATTAGCAATAGGATGTTTGAACAGACCTGAGACTATTGGAGAACCATTGGTAGGTAAGGTTGTATTGCAGTGGGACCACAATGCTCACTGTCTTCTTCCATTACCAGTCCAATACTGAATGCAATGGTTTCACGCTATGGAAATCATAGGACTCTTGTGGTAGTTAATCACGATGCTGCCAGAGTTGAAAAGCAGCCCAATAGCTCCATGGCCACCACAGCAGTGAAACACAGTGCAGAATACTGCAAGGGGATGTTGGAGTCATTTTCTGTGGGAAGTGCATTGGAAGATGAAGGTGAACCAGGCTTGAAGCCCAGAACTTGCTCATAGGAAAATATTTTTAGAGATAAACTGAAGAGGATGTGCCAGTGATCATCATCCTCTACTATGGCACTGCTAATAAAGAGTTATAGGGTATATGAATGCTTATAATCACTAAGCTAGAAGCCACTGCTGGACATGAAGGGTAGCAGGAAGCAAACGCACTAAAATGTGTGTTCAAAAGTTATTTCCGGAATTATCCTTTGTGGTGGGGCTTGTTAACCCTCTGTAAACACTTCCTAATTACCTGCACTGAGACCTCTCTAAGAGGAGATCCCAAAGACTGTGCACTTTGCAGCAACCTTTCAAGATGCTTCAGAAAGGGCTTCCCAGAAATGGCAGCAGGAGCAAAGATCCCCCATTGCCCTGACCTCGATTGTGTTGGTCTGATTCTTAGTTTTACTTACAGAAGAACAGTTTTCAATATCCAGTACAAGCATTTGGAGACTCAGGGCTTTCAGATATTCATTCTGTTTTGTCTCATTGATTTGCCTAAACATCAGAGGAAAAAAAGAAAAAAAATATCAGGCAAACACGCAATCCCTCCATACCGAAAGTAGCAGTTAACACAGAAAAAGGAGCAAGTGATATTAGACGCTTTGGTAGATACTAATCTCACAGAGATTGTATTAGTCGTAGATAAGAAAGAACTCACAATGCACCAGGAAGTAACTGGGGAGACTGGTTGGACTAACTAGAACAAATGCTGCTCTCAGCAGATGGAGCAGGGCTGAACACATTACTGGAGAGGGGATCCTAGGCTCTTGTTTGGAAAGGAGTAAGGACGAGAGGGCCCTTTCATTGTGGTAAAACAAAAGTCTTTTACAAAAAAAGACCATTTTCCAAAGATGCCAGTTCCCATTTAGTGGAATTTGATTTTCTGAACTTTAAAAGCCTCTTTTCTAAAGCTTGTTCTTCAAAGCAGTGGAAAGCAACTAGGCACCCACTATACCAAGGGTCAGTGAAAGCTGAGCATCCAACATCTACTGTCTCCCTCCAAATGTTTATATAGGACTGTAGAGTGATGGCAAAGGCAGAGGAGAAGGGACAGGCTACTTACCACAATAATGTTGTGAGCCACCGTTCTTTCACCTCGGATGAGCTGAGAATAAAAAGGGAAGCATAATATCAGCTAAGTGCTGAATGACTAATAACTTTTGGAGACTTTATCAGGCTTCACTTATATTTAGCTGTAAGTCTCAGTTCCTTCCTGTAAAACCCTGGAACAAAAGCGCAGTCCTTTCCTGGTTCTGTTCTAGTTTAACAAGAATAAGAAATAACAATAATAATACTAATAAAACCCTAGCAGTAGACGAGCTGAGCTGGATTTCCTGACTGGGCTGAGAAGTGTTCAGATAAGGAACAAATATCTTTCTGTGATGCTGGACTTAACAAGTCACGTGGCTCTTTACTTTTTTGTAATGACCTTTAATTGATATTTTTTTCTAGTATCACTTCCCTTCCTCTCCTTGTAGTTCCTAGAAGCCTTCACTGGCAATATCCATCCCACATGTTTTGTGATGCAGGGGAAGTGGCACGGTTGCTAGAGTTGAGATTAAAAAATGTCCACCCTTGCATTAGAAGCCTAAGTTGTCTAGTACTTGAGTGTATGGCACATGGCAAAGGGAAGCTAAAGGCAGCATCCCAGGTACTCAGAAGGGATGGGGCAGCCAGTACAAGATGCATTTGAGAGTCCCAGTGTGTTTTCCACCAAGACACCTGTCCACAGCACAGACAATAGCTGCGCTGACTGGCACCTCTTGGTGTAGGGATAAAGGATTTAGGCCTGGCACCTGGCAGTTTTCACCATCAGATTCACCTTTTCCTAACTATGAAAAGTGCTAGGACTGTTATGACAACAGCTGCAGGGCTAATGCCTGTGGGCAAAAAGGGTTTACTTAGTGAATTGCCTGGAGTAATTTTCAGGAGGGTCCAGCTATGCTCAATTCCCATGTGATGAGTTGGTGAGTCAAGGTGCGCTTAGTGTGTAAAACAGTGGCTCCCAGCCTTTTTTTGCTGTGACCTTAGATCCAGGTCACGACCCTGCCCCTGCCTCTGCCTCTGCCACCGCCTCACTCATGCCCGGTGGTGCCAGCAGAGCCCGGGCTGGGCTGGGGTCATGGGGGGCAGCAGTGGCAAGATCCACGCGGGCTGTGCACTGGGAGAGCCCTGCAGGTGGGACGGGCAGAGTGAGGGGTGGACCTCCTGCGACTCTGATTTGGGTCATGTCCTGAGGTTTGGAGCCACTGATGTAGGAGCTACCCTGTGAGTATTGAATTTTAAAATGGACTACATATTTTCTGTACTCCAGGAAAAATGTTGACTAAAGCAGACTGTGCAGGTGGGGAAGGAACAGTGACAGGGAGGGGAAGGGGAAGTTTCTTTGCAATATTTAGGGTACAGAAATGAACAATTTAGTTCATTTGAACCACTGGCATTTCCTGGATGGGATTTACATGTCATAAATCCGTTCCATCTAAGGTAGTGGTACACATCTCATTATCCATTATCCACTTTTATCTGTGCAACTCATAGTCTTGAATGCATTTGTGTTCACAGCATCCCTGTAAAGCAGAAAAGTATTAGCATCCACACATCACATAGGGGAACTGAGGACCAGATCCTCAAGGGCAGCTCACAGGAACTCAGACACCAAAACAGCTTTGACAGTTTGTGCCTTGATAATTGCCAGAGAGTCTGTAACCAAGCAGGGACTTGAACCCATGTCTCACAAGCCCTAAGCTAGAGCCCTAACTATTGGATCATCTTTCTTTACATAGGCCCCTGCCACTAGGGCTATAGGAGAATTCCTATAATTGTGGAACAGAGATTTCTATTCCCTTTGCCATCATTTAGTTCTCAGTCTACATACAGCTTATCGACAGCTGCAAAACAGTGAATTTATTACTGCACTGTGATACCTGAAGGTGATGACACAGTTGGTGGTGGGCCAGCCAATGACAAAGGAATGCTCTGGACTCATTTTCTTCTCCGTCACTTCACTGAGGCAGGTGCCTGTCCACACTTCACTGAGACGCACTTGCTTCTTCAGCTTCAAGCTTGAGGAAGACCTGAAATCCAAACCACAGATTGCTTAGGCTAATGAGACAGCCTAGAGTCAGATGTAGCCCATGCAAAGACTGCAAAACCATCCCTCATCACTTCTGTTAATGCCTCAGAACTGACTCCACTAGTATCCAAGTCCTGGGCCTCCCCTCTTTCAGCACTAGCACAATGTGTGCAGGCGGATGGCAGATCTCTATGATTCAGACTGTTTATTATCCACACCATAGCACTGATATCAGAATTTACCCCATAAGTTTTTGCCTATTAGGCTGGGGAGGTGGGGGGCGCTGAAGAGTAGGGCCAAAAAGGGAGTTAATTTTTTGATCTCTACACTCACTTTCAACCATGGAAAGAACGCCATGGCATTTCGTCAAGCCTCATGAAGTAAAAGCAAGGTCACTTTGATAAGATCAGCCTACTGTGTGGAAATGTAGACAGTGATAAAGCGAGACGTGCCAAAAAGAATGTAGAATATATTTTGGGGTCAGGGGGGAGGGGGAAGGTGGAAAAGTTATATGTAATGTTGTCTTTGAAAAATATGATTCTCTTGGTGCGCAGACCCACAACTGCATTCAGTCCTGGCTTAAACTTCACTGGATGTGTAGACATGACCCTTGTGAAGCTTGTCGGCATCCTCTTACTTTGACTTGGCGATGATCAGCATGTCATTGAAGAGGAACAAGTGTCTCTCTTGGGTCTGCAGTCCCACAGTTAGCTGTACGCGCTCATCCAGGATGAAAACAGAATTAGGGCTACTAAAAGCCCCGGTTGGCAGCCCATTATCTGGATGGGACGAGGAAACTGTAATTTCCCTGGGGAAAAAATATCATCACATTGTGCAGTTATTTCCTTTCCTTTAAGACTTCATTGATAACATAATACATAGGTGGCCTAATTTGCTTAATTTCTTCTTGCATGTTAGTTGAACCCAGCAAGGAACCATTGAGACTAAAGTGGAGTCCTTATGAAAATGCACAAAATGCCATTTTCTTGCTTTCCCCAACCTCAGTATATATAGATATATTCTAGATACAGATATATAAAGGTTATACAGATCTATACCTATAAACACGGATATAGAGATGTCATAGATATAGCTATATAAAAGCTATATATTAAGCAGTTTGCAGGGAAAGGACTGTAATGGGCCAGATTCTGCTACTCTTTCTTCGATAGCATAATTTGAGGGTCCTATGAAAACAATAAGACTGAAAAATATTTGTACTGATAGGTGGGATTTTCAATACTGTTGGCCCAAGTCAGCTGCTGGTGGACTCAGTAGTTAAACCCCCACAGACTTTTATGGGAGCAGGGCTAAGCCCACACTACAGGCTTTTGAACAATCCTGCCCACACTGTCACTGAACACTTGCATCTGAGCAGCCAGGAGCCTCCCTCTCTTCTGTTCCTGGCACTTTCATCATCCAACCAAGTAGGTTCTCAGTTTATAATTCCAGTACCTCTAAATATGAAAAGTTACATTTGCTTTCAAACATGCTGTTAAAAGCGCCCCATGTACGTCAATGGAAGCTGGGAGCAGTCACATCAAGCAAACTCAGCAGTGAACTTCCTAACGGCAGAAAAGTTAC